CATCGTCCAACTATGAACTAAAACTAATATTTAACGTGGAACAAATTAAAGATGAAGAGTAATGAATTTTCAATTATATTCGAGGATGTGATAATACTTTTTTTTATGTTTTCAAGTGAATTTAATAAGAAATCATTTAATTAAGAAGATGATGTCTATCCAATATACTCCGTATCATCCTTGTGCTATGTATTTCCTAAATTGTGTTAACCTATTTGAGAATTTTGAGTTTGTAATTGATTTAAATATTAAGTATTTAAGTTTGGGATTTAAAAAAAATATATATTAATGTGGTTCCCTCCGAATTCATGACCTGCCCCGAAGTTATTCTCTTCCATAGTTCCGCTAAGAGAGTTCCAGGAATGAAATCCCTTCTGAATGCGACCCTTCCTCAGCCCATATCCCTCTGTATCCGATTCCAAAAAGCCATCGTTGCCCGAAGAAGAGGCTTCCATACTATCAGCACATTTCATAACCCTAGCCTTTTCATTCAACCTGTGAAGCCCCCCAGACTTTCAGTTTCTCTGTTTGGGGTTTCAGCTGTTTCGGAATGTGAGAAAGGTCGGAGCTTTCGAACAGCGGCGTCGTTGACGAAACAAGGGGAGATTCATGTGATTCTAGGACCAATGTTTGCTGGGAAAACCACCACTCTTCTCCAAAGAATCAAGGCTGAGAGCGTTAATGGCAGGTTCGCGTGATTCGTGCTTTCTGTTTTACTTCTCTGTAAATTCCAACTGAATTTTGCCTCACCGGAAGGTAACATATATGATCAGCAGTTGAATTTTCTCTGTAATGCATTTTACTTTCATTACTTTACTCCTTACCCAGCAACACCTAAGATGATTTCTAGTTTCTATCATAACCTTATTCATGATGCCTGTGTCATTATTGCGCAGAAGCATAGCAATTATAAAATCAGACAAGGATAATAGATACGGAATGGACTCTGTGGTGACACATAATGGGGAAAGAATGCCGTGCTGGCCTTTGGCAAGTCTATCATCCTTCAAACAAACAATTGGTTCCAGAGCGTATGATAAGGCAATAACCATGTAAATAATGTTTAATTTCACGTTAACAACTGAGATATGTTTCCTTGCTAAAATGTAGAATCTTGGTTGAGTCTGATTGGATGAACGGTTTGGGGAGGGAAAACTTAAATGGCTTAGTGAATATGCTGTTATATATGTGAGATTTTATATGTCTAAAAGAATAACATATGTGATCATAAAGCATTTCACAAACCTTTTATTTGTATTAGGAACATTTTATGAACAAAACTTAAGTTTCCTTCTTCAAAGTTATAAATCACCTGTGCACGCACAGTTCACAGATAATGAAGTAAATTATCTTTTGTCTACGAGAAATGTTTAAACTTAACAAGGAGCAAGGTTCGAAATTGCATATTGCGTAGTCATGGCGTTTTTTTAGGATTGCATATTGCGTAAGCCTCATTGCGCAATGAGGCGTATGTCTGAGGCGTAAAAATTTATGTGTGTGTATATATGCATAAATATAAACAAAATAAAAAGATGGAGAAAATTAATATTCACATAATTAATAGGAGTATTACGTATTCTCTATTCACATAAAATTAAAACAAAATAAGATCATATGTGGAGTAAGCTAAAATATAATCTTTGATGCATTAAAAACGTTTAAAGATATCATTAGTCAAGATTATTTAGAGCCATTAGAGGGAATATACTTCGTATATAATTCAGGTGATATCATACCTTTAGTAAATACTAAAAACTAAAGAAAAAAAATGAAAGAAACCTTAGTTGCATTGAGATGCCTGAAAGGCTGAAACCACTTTAGTTGCCTCGAGAAGACTAGAGAGGAAGACAGAGGAAGTACTGAGTTCCTGAGAGCCTGAATCGCTGCCAGGCCTTTCGCGATAGATGAATAAGGCGGAAGAAAGTAAGTAACTAAATTGCTGCCAGCATAATGTGTACGCCTCGATAGGTTTATTAGTAAAAATTAAGTCCAGTGGGCCCAAAAAAACACTTTACAGCTGACCACATATATCGTATGCCTCATGCCGCCTTAAGGCGTGGATAGAATTGCGTACGCTTCTGTGCAATAACTCGTGCGCCATAACAACTTCCGCTATAAGCAATGCAATCTTACGCCATCCTCCAGGAAATTGGTGAGGCGCGCCTCAAGGCGGTATTGCATTGCGCAATTACAAACCATGACAAGGAGTAGTAATTTACTTCTATTAACTTATTTGTGTTAATTTTATTTTGTGTGTGCTAACAAACTGTTAGGTAACGGAACACTAGCAGAAGAAATTGGTAGTATATTAATGAAAATTTTAATGAGGGAGGACAGAAAGTAACGAAAGAAAAGGTAGAGACTCTTCGAGTGGCCTCACACTCCCAAATTCCCAGTCCCGATCCCAATTTTTTCCTCCCCATCTACTCACCACTCACCCTTATTTATTCTATTTCTAATGGGCCAGCCCACTTCTATTAAGTTATAGGGCCTAAAACCCTATTATTGACAATATTAAAAATACTTATTAAGACTATTATTATTGGTAGTGTACTAGTGCCCGGGTCCCTAACACAAACCTATTTTCTTTCTTCTTTGCTGTTATGTTATTGTAGTTGGAGGTGATTGGCATTGATGAGGCTCAATTTTTTAAGGATCTATATGAGTTCTGCAGCAAAGCTGCTGATCATGATGGCAAAACTGTGATTGTTTCAGGTTTGGATGGGGACTACCTGAGGTATGATGACATCCACTAAGGATTTTTTTTTTCCAAATTTTGAGGGCAAAAAAATCTTGTGGCTAAATTGCATTTTGTTTACTAATTTCATTCCTTGTGGTTTTTGCAGAAGGAGATTTGGTTCGGTGCTCGACATAATCCCCATTGCTGATACAGTGACCAAGTTAACTGCTCGGTGCGGGCTTTGTGGGGACCACGCACACTTTACCCTTAGAAAGACTGATGAAACCAAAACAGAACTAATAGCAGGTGCGGATGTGTATATGCCAGTGTGCAGGAAGCACTATGTGAGTGGCCAAGTGCTTAAAGAAGCCACTAGAGACTGTGTCCTGGAAGCTCAGGAGGTTGAATGCATCCCTTTTTGTGACACTGCTGCCGTTGTGGTATGATATGTAACTCGTCCCCTGCCAGCTCGGGTGTGTGCCCATGTCCGACATATATTCCACTTGTAGTATATGGTATAATTATCAATTCACTGCACTGGGATGCTTAGGGCTGACCATGTTTATGGCATAACCACCTGAGATTCACAATGAGATTAGTTAATGATCTTTAATCTGTGTGGATGAGTGGATCAATGGTGCTTGTTTTGCGCTGCTTGCCTGATTTGGTGTTGACCCCATATAGCTGCTTGTTGGATTGCAAACATCTGGCCTGAACTCCGTGACTGTTTTGGAGACGAGCAGTTGCTGATTGTTATTATGTTGCTGAGTATATCGCAGCAGAAAATTTTTCTAACGTAGACAATGCTTTGTAGAAGATTAAGTAATGAATGAACTATTGGGTTTACTTTTATGTGATTAGCATTCACTATCATATTAATGTGCAGAGCGTTCCTTCTTTCTTATACTGTGTCGAAAGACATATGTAGTATATAGAAATAAAGGCTAAAATAGGACCATGGACTTTTAGGTGGTCAAAAATAAGACCCAATTTCAATTGGACAAAAATAAGACTTGGACTAGATCTGCTAACGCGCATTAGCTTGTCCGGACATCTCCCTGCCCGCAACAGACTACAGCTCCAAGCCGACGGACATCTCCCCTGCGCGCAACAAACCAGAGCTCCAAGCCGCCGATTCACGCCGTCTCCTCCGCCTTCTGCCGTCGCTCACGTCTGCATCGGTATTCTTCTTCGTCATGGAGCTGCTCAATAACGAACGAAGCTTGGTCGACGATTCGATGGATGACGGGAGAAGCTTCACCGATTCCAGATCTATAGCGGCTGCAATTCTGTGTGCGACGTCGACGACATTACTTATTAGATCTGCGGCCGCCTAAAGCGGGGGGGGGGGGGGGATAGATGGCAGAGGTGACGGACCTGGTTGCCTGGGGCAGAGGAGGTGGTTTGGACAAGGTCTTGGGTGCTGGTGGGGGTGGGGTTAAGTTTGTAAGGGTGATTCGGCAGTAGCCAAAGCATGTGAGGCGGCTGGAGTATGGGCGGCGGCGGCCGGAGCATGGGTGGCAGTGGTGGCCGAGGCATGGCAATGACCGGTCACTAGACTACTACCGGGGTTGTCAATGGCCACGTTGGTCATGATCGGATTGGTCATGGTCGGGTTGGTCATCGTCGAATTGGTTATGGTCGGGTTATTATTGGATTGGTCACGGTCGGAATGGTCATGACCGAATTGGTCATGGTCCGGATTGGTCATGATCCAATTGGTCACGGTCAGATTGATCACTGTCGATTTGGTCACGGTCAGATTGGTCACGGTCAGATTGGTCACGGTCGAATTGGTCACAGTAAGTGGACGGGTTGGTAACTGTAACGGGATGTGTTATGTCACTGTAACTATAATTTGGAGGGTCGGTAACTGTAACTGGATGGGTCGGGTAATTGTAACTGGACAGGTCGGGTAACTGTAACTGTGCGGGCGGACGTTGGTCACTGGATGGGCCGACGTTGGTCACTTGGCGGAATTTGGATTTTTCGTCACTAATGATTTTTTGTCACTGTATGTTATTGGTCAAGGTGAGTATACTGGAGCACTAATGGAAAGTGACTACTGCAACACGTTAGTATTGTTATTGTTATGTCTTGATCCCCTTTTTATTCCCTTTTTTGGAAAGTGAAAAAAGGTCTCTTTTTTGTCTATAGCTCTTTTTTAGTATTGTTTTAGACATAACCCCTAGTATAGACATAACCCCTAATATATAAGGGCATTTTATACATTGATAGTAGAAGAATAGAAGCAGTATTTTTGGTAAATGTTTTTACCAGTAGAAAATTATAATTATGGGTAATTTGTTATTTACAACCTTCAAGATGCAAGTTTTCAAGATGAGTCACTTTTCCCTTTTTAGTAATAAAATTAAAGTAGACTACCATTTATACCCTTCCTTTTTAATGAATAATAAAAGTAAAAGAGTGAACAATACAATAAAGTAAGGTTGTATGAGTCCTTCTATCACTTTTTCTTAATATTTGACTCCAAAAAGTATAGGACCATCAATTTGTGACGGAGGGAGTATTAGACATTGGAATGAGTTACAAGCTCCACATAAGACTGTACCAAACATACAGTCACTTGATAGTTTTTGTTGCAAAAAGTAAACAACAGCCCTCCTTCATGGGCATACAGATCACAGAGATACAAATTACATATTTATATTCCTTTCTCAATCAGGTGATAAACTTCCTAAATTGCTGGCTTCCAACTGGTAGATCAGATTGAATACATGTCGTTCAATGATATCATGCGAAAGAGCTGAGCTTCGGTTCTTGAGAACCATGACAAGAGACTTGTAAAGAGTGTTATTATGTTTCTGTAAACACACAAGAACTTTGTAAAAGCTTGGGAAATCAAGAAATTGGCAAGGGAAGAAGAAATGCAGTTGGTTGGTTACCTTTGTAACCTTCAAGGCTGTCTGGACAACATAATTACCAAACTGATGGGATGCAAGGTAAACCAGTTTTGATTCCCTTTCCAAGAGAGTCTCAACAACAGATCTCATCCCAAACTCTGATGATTTTAGGCAATTCTCCACGACATGGCTGCCGCCCATGGTTTCAGCCAAGTGTAAATAATGCCTCTCGAGACGAATGCATATGGCGCGCGAGATATTGTCATCATGAAGGGTAAGAACATGCTGAATCACATAGTGCCTGTTGAAATAGCCGATTCACGAAAAAGAGCACGATAAATTTTAAGATATTTTTATCCATAACCATATTTAGTCATGTATATAATTTGCACTACTACACATATGTACCCCCAAGGATCGTGAGAGAGGATGTCTGAATGTTCTGCAATTCGATGAAGAAGTATGGATCTATTTATCCCGCCCACGCAATTGAGACAAGTGTTGAGGGATATGCATCCGTATTGAGATGTGGCTAGCTCTATAACGTCATTTAATAGAGCGTCATACAACACCTGAGATCAAATCAAGAGAGTGTGATATAATCTACCAAAGATGTACTTACAAATGTTCTAAAGCACATCTAATAGTAGTTGAACAACTACAATACCTGATTCTCATTAGGTTTGAAGCTCTTAAAGCATTGTTCAACAACATATTGGCCTTGTGCACTAGTCATCAGTTCAAAAAACCTCATGGAGAGAATGTTAGTAATGATATGGCCAAAACCGGATCTTTTCAATCTCTTGATCAAGGCCTGAACTGCAGTTGAACTGTCAAAGACACACATTACGTCATTTTATGATTACCAACGCCGAGTTTCCGAAAAAAGTTGTGCACGAGTGTAATTACTAATTACCCGTGTTTATGAAGAGCTACATCAACGAATAAGCGTTCATGGGAAGCCAATTTAAAGAAAATCATATTAAGTTGGATCGAATCGCAAACTTCGAGAAGCTTTCTGAAGAGATGGTGTGCGTATTCATTTGTCATGACCTGAAAAATACTTCCAAGAATAACCTCAAATATTTGCTGGCAGAGACCAAACTTTCCTTCTTTTAGAATCCTCTGCAACTCCAGAGAACCTTACCTAGTTTTAGCTGCTTCCAAAATTCTGTTTCTTGGACTTGGGCAACCACAATCATTTTGTGACCCTCTACCAAACTGACTTGGAGAACCCCATGTTGAATACAATCTCCCATTGCTGCTTCCTGATCCATAATATGTACCATCAGTATACAATTTTCAGGTATTTTCATCACAGAACCACCCACAAAGAAACAACAAATTGTTCAAAATGTTGTAGTACATACACCAAAATCATGAAATTTAGTATGTGTACTAAGTTTGCTACTTGTTATTAGACGTCTATCATATTAGAGCTTGGTTTTTGTTATTGTTTTTCCATTAAAATGTTATACTTTATTCCACCACCACCACCCTACCCATCCCCCGTATAAAAATAAGAGAATATTACCCGAAATAGGACTAAAAAGGTTTGAAAATTCCAAAATAGGATTGTCATGTTTTTATTCCCAAAATAGGACTAATTACTGTCATATTTTGACAGTATCAGACTTTAAACATGCCGGTATTTTTCAAACTTGGCAGTAATATGGGAATAAAATAATGTCAGTCATATTTTGGAATTTTCAAACTGTTTTAGTACTATTTCGGGAACCCTCCCTAAAAATAATATGCATGTGCGGATGTGCATGTCATACATTCAACAAGCAGTAACAGGATCGGCGGTTGTATTTCTAACAAGTACCACCCTTCCAAAAAAATAGTGTGTATATTACACAAACATTAATACCACGTAACATATTGTGATGCATTTTTGTACTCATATACATATCGAGTATTACTTAAACTTTTTGACCCCACTGACATTATAGTACTCTTGGAATATTGGAACATGTGATATTTTAATATTGGAATAATTTAATATTGGTTTACATTATATATTTTCTTAGCCTATATTATTGCATTTAAGTGCATGGCCCATGTAATAGGAACAATGTTCCTTCCTTGTATTATAAATAGACATACGTATGGTGTGTATACAAAAATATGAGAGAGAAGAGTTATTCTCTGAATCATTCTCGTGCGTTTAAAGTCATGCTCTCAGTGAGCTTTATTTCTCCATCTTCACTTAATATAAGTTTTATCATGGTATCAGAGCCGAAATTCTGGAAACATAAATTCTAGTTTTTCGCTCTCTTGTTTTTTTCTCACTATGGCAGTAGGTGATTCTATCAATAAACTCAGCTATGAAGCTTTGGGTTGTATTTCTTGTGCCCAAGTAAATATGGCATATACATTGCCACATTCTCGTCCTTGGATAATTGATTCTGGAGCTACTGAACATATCACTTGTAGTGATACTAATCTTTTCAATATCATCAATCATGTGTCGGAATCCTCAGTCACAATTCCTAACGGCGAATCAATTCCGATTCATGCTGTCGGAAGTTTATATTTACCCAATGGGCTCTGTCTTGAACGTGTTCTATATATTCCAAAATTTCAATGCAATTTACTTTCAGCTAGTCGCTTAACAAGTGATCTAAATTGTACTCTGACATTTTTCCCAGACTTCTGTATTCTGCAGGACGTACCAACGAGGAAGCTGATTGGCGTGGGTAAATTTCGTGATGGTCTTTATTACTTGGAATCTCAAGAAAGTGAAAGAGTGGCAATGTCAGTCTCTATTAGTTCAGATATATGGCATCAACGGTTGGGACATGCATCTGATGGAAAATTACATCATATTAATTCTCTCAAGGGTTTTCGACGGAGTGATAATTTTTGTGATCCATGCATCCGTGCTAAGCAGACTAGACTGCCATTTCCTACAAGCTCCATTAAGACAACTCGCTGTTTTGAATTGATACATTGTGACATATGGGGAGGCTATAGATGTGATTCACTCTCTGGAGCACGGTATTTTCTATCTATTGTTGATGACTTTACTAGAGGTGTGTGGGTTTATTTAATGAAAAATAAATCTGAAGTATCCCAATTTTTAATTCAATTCTGCAATATGGTTGAGACCCAATTTGAGCAGAAGGTGAAACGAATACGGGCAGATAATGGTTTAGAATTTCAAACCAACAACTTATTTGATTATTATGGACGGGCTGGAATTTTATTAGAAACATCATGCACATACACACCACAACAAAATGGAGTTGTGGAACGTAAGCATAGACACATATTGGAGGTTGCAAGGGCACTACGTTTTCAGTCTGGGTTACCTATTGATTTTTGGGGAGAATGTATTTTGACTGCTGTTTACATCATTAATAGGCTTCCATCACCCATTATTTCTAACAAAAGTCCTTTTGAAATGCTATTTGGGAAAGTGCCTAGTTATGATCATTTGCGTGTATTTGGATGTTTAGTATATGCACATGATAACAAACGAAAGGATAAATTTGGTGAAAGAGGAAGTCCTTGTGTATTTATAGGCTATCCGTATGGTCAGAAGGCATATCGAGTTTTTGATTTACAAAAACACACTGTTTATCACTCTCGAGATGTGACTTTTTATGAAGAAAAATTTCCTTTCAAAATTGGTTTGGATCAAGAACTTGATTTTTCCTCACTTATCAACAAAGTTTACAATCAAATTTTGTGCCATGAGTGCCCTACGACACAGCCACATAACAGCTCACCTAGTAGCATTGTACTTCGTCCGATGGCTATACTCGAACAACCTTCATCTGAGCAGGACGATTGCAGCCCCACACCAGCTGCGGCGGCCAGCTTGGAGCCTGATTTATCATGTGATGAGCAGCCATATACGTCCCACGTTGATCAGCTACAACATATGTCTACCGCTGGTCCTTCACGTGGTGCAGCATGCCTTGACCACACATCAAAAGAAAAGGACAACCTGCTGCCTAGTACGGTCCTACTTCCACCTCACGAGAAGCTTCCCACATATAATAATAGTGAACAGCAGCAGCCCCCTGAAAACTCCACATGTGAATTATTATCTCCTAATGGACCCACATTTAAAAGGAAAGTTAATGAGCTGCGTACTGATGCTACCATCCAATTTGGAAATCTGCCCACTAACTTTGACATTTGTGGACAAAGAACAAATGATGTGGGTCCCACTCCATCATCATGCATTGAACCTCCCATTCATCAAAAAAGGAGTGATAGGACTCGAAGACTGCCGAAGCATTTGGATAATTTTGAGACTGACTTACCCCCTTCACTTGATCATTCACGGCCCACCGCCAGTTCAGTTAACTCAACGGTATATCCTCTTTCTGACTTTATCAGTTATGAAAAATTTTCCTCCTCACATAAAGCTTTTCTAGCGGCCATCACCTCACGTGATGAGCCCAAATATTTTTCACAAGCTGTACAGGATCCTCTGTGGAGAGAAGCCATGCAAAAGGAAGTCAAAGCATTGGAAGAAAATGGAACATGGACATTGGTCGAGTTACCTCCTCACAAAAGAGTGGTTGACTCTAAATGGGTTTATAAAATAAAATATAAACCTAATGGGGAGGTGGAACGTTATGAAGCTAGACTCGTTGCCAAGGGTTTTACACAGGTAGAGGGAGTTGACTTTCATGAAACTTTTGCGCCGGTTGCTAAACTTGTTACTGTGCGGTGTCTATTAGCAGTTGCAGTCAAGCAAAATTGGGTGGTACATCAACTGGATGTTAATAATGCATTTCTCCATGGAGATCTTTCAGAGGATGTGTACATGCGTATTCCCCAGGGATTTACGAAAGGCGGTGACACCCGTGTTTGCAAATTACACAAATCTTTATATGGATTACGTCAGGCCTCTCGTAATTGGTACCATAAGTTCACTCAAGCTCTTACTAAAATTGGATTTTGTCAATCCCAAGCAGACCACTCATTGTTCATCTTCCGACAGAACTCCATTACTACATTTGCTCTTATTTATGTGGATGATGTTATTCTAGCCGGAAATGACATCACCCATATTAACGAAGTAAAAGGGTACTTGGATACCGCATTTAGCATTAAAGACTTGGGTAAATTAAAATATTTTCTCGGTATTGAAGTTGCTCGCTCTCCTGAGGGTTTTGTCTTGAGCCAACGCAAGTATACTCTTGATATTTTGGAAGAGAGTGGACTTCTTGCAGGACGTCCTTGTTCGTTTCCTATGGAACAGAATTTAAAACTTCGTCCAAATGATGGTAGCCCGCCAGTAGATGCATCTTCCTACCGCCGTCTTATTGGGCGTTTGTTGTATCTTACAGTGACTCGTCCGGATATTGTTTACTCTGTTAGTCAACTCAGTCAATTTCTCAACAATCCACGTCAAACCCACCTTGATGCGGCCATACGGGTTCTCCGCTATTTGAAACAAACACCTGGCCAAGGCATATTTCTCTCATCGGAGAATGATTCCACATTAAAAGGTTATTGTGATGCCGATTGGGCAGGATGCTCGTTTACCCGCCGATCTAGCACCGGTTACTTCATCACCCTTGGGCACTCACCTATCTCTTGGCGAACAAAGAAACAGTCGGTTGTCTCTCGCTCTTCCGCTGAAGCAGAATACCGTGCCATGGCGGTTACAGTTAGTGAAATTTTGTGGCTACGATGGTTGCTCAGAGATCTCACAGTTCCTCAGAAGGGTCCCACACCCCTTTATTGTGATAATCAAGCTGCTCGACATATTGCGCTCAATCCAGTTTTCCATGAGCGTACTAAGCATGTTGAGATAGATTGCTTTTTTGTACGTGAAAGAGTTGCCACAGATGAAATCCAACCACTATCCATCTCCACAGCCAATCAGGTGGCTGATATATTTACCAAAGCACTTGGAGCAGAACGTTTTCAGTTTCTTCGAAGCAAGTTGGGTGTTCGTAACCTTCACACTCCATCTTGAGGGGGAGTATTGGAACATGTGATATTTTAATATTGGAATAATTTAATATTGGTTTACATTATATATTTTCTTAGCCTATATTATTGCATTTAAGTGCATGGCCCATGTAATAGGAACAATGTTCCTTCCTTGTATTATAAATAGACATACGTATGGTGTGTATACAAAAATATGAGAGAGAAGAGTTATTCTCTGAATCATTCTCGTGCGTTTAAAGTCATGCTCTCAGTGAGCTTTATTTCTCCATCTTCACTTAATATAAGTTTTATCATGGAAAGCATTCACTTTGCACTTCGTAGGCAATTTTCTTTTGCAGGGAAAGCATTCAAATCAGGAAACAAACCAGGATGGGATGTACTTTGGTCCGATTTTCAATTAATAGGTATTTTGGTTAAGGTAAAAATACTAGAAAGGTGAATTTCTCTTCAGAACAAATTGGGAATATAGGTAGTTGTAAGTATTACCTGAAAAGTTGTTCCAAGCCCAAATATTGGAAGAGGTATAACTAGAGCCACAGCTTGTTGAATACCATTGTGCAGCATTGGAACCTCAAAAGATTAAATTTCAAAATTGACAGCATATAATTATAATCTAACATGAGATTTTAGAATACATGAAAAATAACTATATACAAGTACACACAAGTAAATTTAGAGACAAGAAATATTACATGTAAAATAATCAAAGAGACTCGAGTATATATTTCATCTACCATTAATCAAAACTACTAATAGCTTAAAAAGGTATATGAACAAATATATTCACTCACATGACCATAATATATTTAAGTAATTATAATGATCAAATATGGAATATATTCTGACAAACCTAAGTTGTGGCTGTTGTTTTCTTTCAGAGAGAGGTTTGTGAGAGAACCAAGAGTTTCATCAAATAGAGAATTGTTAGCGGTGTTGCCGGGATTATTAGCAGCAGGGTTTAGGGTTGCCATGAGAAACCACTTATGTAAGAAAAGATGGATGAAACTCAATTAGTTAATTGGTTAATATAAACGTAGCTTATGCATTGTTATTTCCAAATAATTTCTCATTCCTATTCTTAATGAGACACAATTAATATATAACCTCCTGTTTCCATAGTTTACGAGGAATCTAAAACTAGGGCTGTATTTCCAGTTTGCTATTGGTTTCCATGGTTTAGGATGGTGATACTCCTCCGTATTAAAGGTGAACCCTTTTTAGGATATAATAATAATAACGTCATTATTACTCTCTTATACGGAGTATAAATAATAAAATAAATACTCTTCTAACGAGTATGATGACATGATCGATCTTGTTATATACTCCTCAATATTGAATTAAAATCAAATCGACCTCATAATTCTCCCATCTTTTAGAGCATGTTTGGTGACATTTTCGATTTATCAACCAACTTTTTTATTAAATACGTGATTTTTGATTTTGTACACTGAATTGTGTCATAATCAAAGTAAGTAAGACTTGAGTTACTTTTCTTGTTGAATTGACTGAACTTACAGTAGAGAACCATTTTAGTTTTTTTTCATATATTTTTCCTTTATTTTATTAATAAAAAATATTTTAAATATAATTTTTTCATTAATCAGCAAAATCAGTCAATTCAACCACTTCAGACAAGATCATATTTGATCAGACTGAATTGAATTAGATCATGCAAAATTAAACGACACTCAGACAACAGTAAAATACACATATATTTGATCAATGCAGACCAGACTTAGAATGTTTTTAATAGGACTTAAATTTTTATCTGTTTAAGAGTGACCAGACCGGACTTAAGCATATCCAACCATAAAATTTTAATTCAATTAAAAACATCCATTGTCCTAATTATTATTTTTGTTCATCCATTAACCTGTGATGTACTCCATCCATAAAAAGAAACAAAAGAGAAATTCATAGGTTCCTAGTAGGGGTGGGCAAATCGGTTTACAGTTCGGTTTTCTTCGGTTTCGGTTCGGTTTCGATTTATTCGGGTTGGGAGAATTTGTACCAAACTAAAACCATTTATGTTTCGGTTTGGTTTCGGTTCGGTTTCGATTCTATTCGGTTTGAAGTTCGGTTTACCAAAGTAAAAACTTTTGCATCACATTACTCCGTATGATATTATTTGATCAAGTTCTTATATTTTATAATTAGAAAATGAAAGTAGTAGTTCATTTCATCTTCTTTTATTGATTACTAGGTTTCAAGCCCGTGCGATGCACGAGCGGTACATAATTTAGCTAATTTTTGAATTTGATTTTTTTCGGAATCATATATAATGTGATGCAAAAGTACAATAAACTCAGTCTAAATATAGAGTTCGTTTGATAATACTAAAATTGGTGGAATCGGCTTATTTTACTAAAATTGATTAAATTCTAGTTGAATGGACCGAATGGGCGGAATCTCCAAAATCATGAAAAAAAATTCCATTTGTAAAATAAAGAAACAATTATATGAAAAATATATAAAATGTTCTTCTACATAAGCATCTCAACTAAACGTAATGTTGTGAACCAATTTTAAAGAATTCACAAAGAAGCTTCTTAATTAATCTCACATCCTCTAAATTACTTTATTATGCACCTCAAATTTTTTTCATATTCCTCATTCAGTTTGGTATGAAATATGGAATATACATACTTTTAACTTTTAATAGTAAGATCTTACATTTTACTCATTATTTCGTCACATTGAAAATGTAAAAAAATGGAGATTTTTTTTACATTTTACTCATTATTTCATATGAACGTCCATATTACTTTATTGAGCATTCAAAATAATATTTTTCTAATATTTCTCATTCAACTTGGTATGAAATACATATTTTTAAATTTTAATAGTGAGATCTTTCATTTTACTCATTATTTCGTCACATTCAAAATGTAAAAAATTGGTGTTTTTACAGTTTACTCATGATTTTGTCACATTGTAAACATTATTAATAAGGACGTTTTTAATTGAATTAAAAATTTCGGGTTTGATGTGGTCTGAAGTAATATTATCTGGTAGATGTGTGTTTTACATTTTATGTGTCCTATACTCGTATTATTATTAAAGATTGATCTGGTTTGGGAATGAAATCAATCTAATTAAAAACATCCTAAGGGTAAAAATAAAATTAGGAATTTGTAAATATATAAAGATTTCCTAATTTGGCTCAGAAATCTGTTTCAAAAGTGATAACATTTTTTCTCAAAAGTGATAGCATATTTAAATTGTAGTTGTAAAAAAAGAAACAAAATAACCAAAAACGAAGTATTAACACAATTGCATATCCGGGACTTAGAATTTTAATAATCATGATCTAAACATTGAGTTTGAAGAATAAAATATTAACGAATAAGTTCTTTGCGAAGAGAGAATCTTAATCAAAATACTTAGCCATGAGTTAATAAAAATATGGCTTTTGGTTAATAAAATATTAACGAATATGTATCACATTTTAATCATTGTCTGACTGTCATATTCTCTCTTCACTTACCAAATAAGATGGATTTTTGTCATACGGTCTTTTGTTTACATATCGATATGCAATCCAAAATAGAATCTAATAAAATAAATAAAAGGTACGGAGTATTAAAAACCTTATGTCAATATTTAGGTTTTTAATACTCCGTACCTTATATATATATATAAGTTGTTCGGTGTTCGATTCGATTTACGATTTTTCAGTTTTAAACCAAACCAAACCATTCAATTTGAGCAAATTCGTACCAAACAGTTTACTTAAGTAAACCCAAACCAAACCAAACCACAAATTTTCAGTTCGGTTCGATTCGATTAAACCAAACCATTTTGCCCACCCCTACTTAAGAGTTTCATTTACGCGAAAGAATATTCTAAAAATGTTGGATTACTTTTCACTTGGTTTGATGAAAAAATAAAATAACCGGCACTCCCGCCACAAAAATATTAGAGGGGTGTTGTTTAGGTAGCATTCTTTATTTCATCATCACTCAAAATATTTTTAACACGTGTGCGTATATTAATATGTTTGTGTTAGAAAGTTCAGATAATTTTATTTTATGGTAATTGCTACAAATTCTACAAGTTCATTGTCACATACCTCTCTTCGAAAAGAAGTTCTCACTTTCTTTTATACTACCTCCGTCTCACTATGTTTGGGACAAAGAGTGTGACACAACTTTTAAGAAAAAGTGGAATTGTATGGTTGATATTGAATTGATAAAGTGTGAATAAAGTAAGAATGAATTGTAACCACCCAAATATTACCAAATATGGTAGGAGACAAACTTAATGGGACAGACGAAAAAGGTAAAACGGAACAAAGTTAAGGGGACGGAGGAAGTACCACGTAAAAAGAACTTATTTCTATAATATAAAATGTTAAAACCATTTTTAATAAAAAAGTCACAATTACTCTTACTTTTTAGTCAATTTTGGATCGATTAGACATAATGCAAGAGTACACATAGAAAGTCAAAAAAATGGTCTTACATAATACGAGGAGTACTGCTTTTGTCCCGAAATACATAGTCAAATCTTAAAATTTATATCATGAAAATTATAAATTTTTATGGAAATTATAAATTTTTATACTATTATTAAAGTACTTGTAACAAAATAATATTTTCGTATCATGTATATATTATAAATAATTTCCAATAAATATACGAAGTATATGGTTGATCAAAGTTTTAAATATGAGCAAGTATTTTGGGACGAAAATAGTACTATCATGTATGGAGTACTTTATAATATTGTATATTTATAGGTCAAACAGAGAATTTCATTCCGGGATGAAAGGAATAAATGAGACTATGATAGTAATCACTCTTTGTGTTAAGAATCAATTTTTTGAATAACGATAATATTGAAATTAATTAGCAAAATCAAACATGAACTAAAAACGTGTGTGCATCCTCTCTGTTCTCAATTTCTAATACTGATATGATTCCGATCAGAGCACTATGAATATTTTCGAAAGTGTACGAACAGAAAAAAGTCAATACAATCAAACCACAAGAAATCAAAGCACTAATCCAAAAATTCCGAAAACTAAAAGCAAAGGGTACAGATTGGCAGTGCTCTTCCAGCTCGCGGAGGAGCTGCCGGTGGCATTCCCTGGGCTCTGCGCCGGCGTGATTCCGGAATCACCGGCGGGAGCAGGGGAAGGTGAAACTCCCGGAGCGACGCTGTTTCCGGCAGCCAAAGTCAATGCGACCTTAGCATTCATATTCTCCGTTTCCATTTGATGCCCCAGTGGGTGTGGTTGACGATCGGTGCTCAACGGACCCACCTGCCACAGGGTGTTCAACTGCGATGGCCTCGTCAGATTACTTAACGTGGCGTAAATCCACACGCCGCCGGCAGAACCCACCACCGCCGACGAGTTCTGAACGATCCACGGCAGAGACTTGTTGGGCACCTCGGTTATGGTGCTTCTGGAATTGAGGGTGAGACTGTATGGTTTGACGGTGAGAATTCCAGATTGGGGGTATAAAGCGAGGAAGGCAAACGCGCCGTTCATGCCGTCGCCGTTGCCGGGGTTGATGCCCCAGCCAAACCACATGCCTCTTGAGATATTTGCGCCGGCGGCGAAGGAGAGGGTGGAGTTGGTCTCGGTGTAGTTCCAGTGGAGGACGGCGCCGAGGGAGGGGAGGACCGTGCAGTTAGCATACACATTGTCAATCTTCGAGGCGCAATTTAGAGAGAGGGCGGGTGAAATTAGGATAGCTCCGATGAGGAGGAGGAGAGAAGATGGGGACATTGTGGGCGGCCGTCTACGGTGGCTGAGAATTGCCCGCCGGTTATGGTGGTCCTGATTGGGTTTTTTGGAGAATGGTAGTTGCTCTGTCCGAGAAAGGGTGGGTATTTATTTATAGAGAAAACGGACGGATGAGATTTTGGAAGGTAGGGTTCGTGTAGGAGTTGGACTAAGAGGGACTAAGAAGCTGTTCCGTTCACCTGAATGTTTCTGATCTGAATTTTTTAAGTTCTGATCTGATCTGAATTTTTCTGATCTGATCTGATCTGATCTGAATCTTTCTGATCTGATCTGATCTGAATCTTTCTGATCTGATCTGAATCTTTCTGATCTGATCTGAATGTTGCTGAACTGATCTGAATGTTGCTGATCTGATCTGATCTGATCTGAATGTTTCTGATCTGATCTGAATTCTTCTGATCTGAATCTTTCTGATCTGATTTGAATATTTCTATAATTGTAATTGTAATTACAATTGTAATTATTAGATTTATAATTGTAATTAAAAATATAACTTAAATAAAATTACAATTATAATCATAATTATAAAAAATAATAATTAAAATTAAATTTAAAATTATAATAATTATACCAATTACACTAATTATAAATACAGATACAATTATAAATGTAATTATATTTTTAATTATGATTAATTTTATAAATATTATTATTGTAATTATAATTATAATATTTATTTCTATAGTCATAATTATGTCTATAATTACTAATTTAAATATATAATTACTCCGAAGTAATAATAATTACAACAATAACAACAAGAACAACAATCATATTAATAATAATGATGATTATAATTATAATTATATTGTAAATCATAATTATAATTATAATTATAAATATATTATATTATATTATATTATATTATATTATATTATATTATATTATATTATATTATATTATATTATATTATATTATATTATATTATATTATATTATATTATATTATATTATATTATATTATATTATATTATATTATATTATATTATATTATATTATATTATATTATATTATATTATATTATATTATATTATATTATATTATATTATATTATATTATATTATATTATATTATATTATATTATATTATATTATATTATATTATTATAATATAATAATAATTTTATATTATTAACATTATTATTATATTATTATTAATATTATTATTATATTAATATATTAATATATTAATATTATTAACAATAACTATAATATAATAATCATAATTAATATAATAATAAAAGTGATAAATCATGTTTGAATTTTTTGACCTGATCTGATCTGAATGTTTCTGATCTGATCTGAATGTTTCTGATCTGGTCTGAATCTTTCTGATCTGATCTGAATGTTGCTGATCTAATCTGAATCTTTCTGATCTGATCTGAATGTTTCTGATCTGATCTGATCTGAATCTTTCTGATCTGATCTGATCTGAATCTTTCTGATCTGATCTGATCTGATCTGATCTGAATAAAATAAGATTAAGGAATAAGTAATAAGATTAAGACGAACGGAACAGCTTCTAAGAGGCAATGCCGTTGTACACTAAAACGGCGCAAACATCACATCATACAGTATTTTATCTCTAATATTTTACATCATTTTCATCATCAAAAAGAAATATCCCCTTTTTATTCTTTTTATTAACTTTTTACCATTCTTCTATTTAAGTATCTAATTATAATATATTTATACATTAGTCCCTCATTTAATATTTTGACATTTCACACATTATTTCACACATACAAACTTAAATACACCATTTAAATATGTATTTTCACGCATTTCACTAATTAAAATACAATAATCAATATTTCACAAATACAAGCTAAAACCAAATAAAATTAAATATTACAATAATATTATAATAATTTGTACGTCATTAATAAAGTACTACTTAAACTTAAAGCAATAGATTAATTTTATGTTTATTTTTTTTCTATCAAATTAATAATTTTAATTTGTATAAGGATGTTTTTACTTGGACTGTAATTTGTCTCAGATCATATCAGACCGAATCAGACCAGATTTGGGTAGTTATAAAAATACAAAGAAATCAGACTTGACCAGACCAGATCAGACCAGGCTTGGGTTATAAAATACAAAGAAACTAGACCAGATTAGTTCAGACCAGACTAAACCGGACCAGACCAGATCAGCAAATTACAGTATAAGTAAAAACATCCTAATTTGTTGTTCTAAAAATGGGTCAAAAGTATAACAACCAAAAGTTGGGGTCACATTTGAAAAAAAAAAGATGGCGTAGGGGATGGTGTGCATCATATATGGCGTAATCCCAAACTCCCTCCCCCATTTTGGTGAGATGGTGTAAAGAATGGTGTAAGTATTGGAGCAAGTTTTTGGCAAATACACCATTTGGTGTGTGATTTGGTGCTCTGTTGGAGAAGCTCTAAGACGTGTTTATTCAACGCGATCACAAACCAAGTGCAACCTATCCCTATAGGCTATAGAAAGAGAAGTCGGTGTAAATTGAAAAAATAAATGTATTTTTATTATGGAGTAATAAACAATAATAACACTATAATAGTATGAAATTGTCTAGCAAGAAAAAAAAGTATAAAAAAAAGTATGAGCCCGTTCCGAAATTGGTTGAATTGGCTGGTCTGCTGGAATTTATGAAGTTCTAGCTGGATTATATGGATTGACCGATTGACTGATTCTGCTAATTTATGAAATAAAAAAAATTATTAATAAAATAAATAAATAAAATATGGAAAATAGTTAAAATGATTCTCTACAATAACTTCAGTCAATACAGTCAGAAAAATAAATTTAATCTTATTTATTCATATTATTACACAATTCAGCGCGTGAAATTAAAGTAGGTGTTTGGTGAAAAAGTTGGTTGATAAGTCTGATAAGCCGAAAAGAGAGTCATCAAACGAGCTCTATGACTTTATCAATCTTTTTCATAATTCAAAAAAATTATAGTAGTAGAAAATTTCATACTAGTATAATAAGTTATCCTTTGTATTCTTTAAAAAAAAAATAAGCTATCTTTTGCCTTATTTGAGGAATTACTTGCGAAATTTCAAGGGGGTGTTTGTGTAACCGCGTTTCAACCAGAAACGCCATTATTTTTCAACGTAAAACGTTGTTAAATGTAGCGTTTTGACGGCCAAAATGCTGAAATACAAACATGCCCCGAAAGTTGGGATGTATTGAATAAATGTAAACTTTTAAAAGGTTAAAATTGTTTAGATATACTACCTCCATCCCTTATAACTTTGTCAACTTTTGTTTTTGGATGTCCCACTAATTTTGCCATTTCCCCTTTTAAGTAAAGAATTTGTAGTTCCAGTTAATTCTCTCTCCTCTGCGTGAATCTCAATCACACAGTTTTTACTTTATTAATATTCGTGCTGATCAAACTTGGCAAAGTTATTAGGGACAAAGGGAGTATTAATTCTGCATAGCTGTTTAATGAGAATTTGTTAGCCTCCCAAAAAAATTCCGTAGGCACTAGGCTCTTCCTTTCATCTTCTACTTGTGGCAAGTACTAGACCGGATTCCAGTGTAGATAGTAATAGACTATTCATTTATCTAAATTATGGTATATCACAGTAAGATCTCAAATTCTAAAAATTAATTAGAAAGACAACTAATTGATATACTCCATCTATCCCTATTCGATGTTCCCACTCCAAATTACACACCGATTAAAAAATTGACATTGTTAGGACGTTGTTTGACACTGTTTGTTTACCAAATAAGGAAATGAAACTTTTTAAGGGACTTCCTAAAAATAATAATGGAAATATGATAAGACTTACATGTTTGATGTTAAACTTGTTTAGTATGCCCAGATGCGTTCACTTGTTGTTCTCAAACAACTCTTTTTTTATCATCTCAAACAGCTCATTTTTATTTCATAAGAAAATCAGTTTTAAATTAATTTTGATTGGTTTATGGAATGGGAGGACCGGAGGACGAATATATGGCGATGAAACCCACATTTGTGTTACTATCTACGAAACCTAATGTAACCGATCGACGATATTTTGAAGGTATATACTTCCCAGGCAGAATATGATGTTAGACTATTAGGGAAAGGATATTTAAATGGTCCCGAAAAAATGGAACAACTTTAATACTACCGAGACCAAATAAAATGCAGTCGCTATCCGTACACATATTGCGACCATTTTCAATGTCGGTCGCAAATAGTTTGTCGCAAAAAGTCAATATTCTTGTAGTGATACAAGCCGAGACCAAAATTTCAAACAGAAAGAGAGACAAATGGTTAATATAATTTAGAAAGGTGTTTGTGTGTGTCAATAACTTAAAAGAGTAAATGCTCATCTTCCTTCCCAATGCTATGTACTTCATTGCTCTATCATGGGGCGAAGACACCTGAATCTATAAAATACAATACAATAGAGTGTTAGATGATTCATCCATGCGTATCAAATATAAAAGACTAATATATATATAACCTATTTAGCCCCCCCCCCCCTTATCGATCAACTTTTTAGTTAAACGCATAACTTTGTTTTCACGCGCTAAATTATGTAACAATAAAAATAAGTAGGTTAGAGTTATGTTTCTGGCTAAATTGAGTGAAGTCACTGTATAAGGCCATTTTAGCTTTTTTCATATATATTTTTCTTTATTTTATTATAATATACTACATAGTACGTATATTTTAAACATGATTTTTCCATAGTTCAGCATATTCAGCCGCTTCAGCAAAACTTTCATGAACGTTAGCATATCTAGCCAATTTCAGTGTTCGGAACAGTCTCTTTACGCGATTAATAAGAGTTGGGTGGAGATGATTACATGCATTGATTTGTTGGACTTCACTGATGGGCTCATCCACCGATTTGCTGCATATAATCTGCATATGACCCATGAGCTCAACCTTTTCCCCTGCATTGAGGTTTCAATGACCATATTTATTGTTCTTCATCTCCCCACCCCCCACCCCCCCCACCCCCTGGTTTGCATTTGTTAGACATACCTTTGGGAGCAGAGTTGAGGGCTCGTGCTAGACGTTTCAAATCTATTAACCGTACACGTCTCCGTTGTTTACCTAATTTGTGAATCAAAATCCCATAAGTTACATGGTTAAGCCGTAGACTTTGTTTTGTGGAATGAATGAAGTGGCTTGCAATGTAGAAGAAGCTTTTGCAAGATTTCAAAATCAATGCTTTGATGTTTTTGTTGAAATAAGAATGGTATTAACACAAACTGAGAATTACTAATTCCATTGTGTATCATGTAAAAGAGTAAAAACGTAAGTGCTTTTGTCAAACTAAAAGAACCAAAATGTTGTTTTTTTGGAAAGAAGTATATGTTTCTTTGAAAAAGTGTTTTTTTAGAAGTTGCCTCAAACATGCACTAAGGTTTGTATTCTGTCTTGATGACAATTTTAGTCCTCTGAATGATGCAATTTAGCAGGACTAAAACCACAACATTGACAGTTTTGCAAAAAGTAAACAATGAGTGATAAAAATAGTACGTAGTACAAAGAAAAATACCCAAGGAAGAAATACAAACAGAAACTATAAATATACTAACACTTGGAAATGGTAGTACTATCACAGCCTTTGGCAGACACTTGTGCTTCAACATGTTGAATATGGTCATGAGCCTCACCCGATGGGCTATTTAGTAATCTCGCAAAATGCTTAATTTGGTAAAAATGCAGTCCTTCCGGGTACGGGTATTTTACGTGTGTTGTTGCATCCTGACCAGCACCACCTGGACAACACCTAGGGGCTAGCAGATATCTAATTAACTAATCCGATTAACGGTTTAAAAAATCTTGAGAAGCAAAGAGGTACCAGGGTGAGAACTAGACATGGTTGATAATGATGCCTCAAGTAGCCTTTCATGGTCCTTCTTTATACACTCAAGCTGAATGGTTTCATCACATTGGTGGAAGATACTTCTAGTTCTAGGAATAATAATTCCACGAGTTTGAGAAGGAAGAGGAGGAAGAGGAGGAGGGCAACTCGACATCAAGGAGGCTCTCTGTCTTCTCAGCTGGTAGTTTCTACGGCGCCTGGCTAGATGCCTCTCGCGCTGCTCTTCGCTCATAGATTGTCTTCTCTCCCGATCACGCATTCGCCTTTTTTCCCTTTCACGCTCTTTCTCTACGTTTGGCCAGTTCCTCACTGCTAGCCAGTCATTGTTCTCAGATGATGATCCTTCTGCTGATGCTGCCATTTCCACCCCTACTCTTCTCTTTTTTTTGCTTACATGCCAAGAATAATCTGATAAGTGATACGAACTTTACTTATTTATGTCCATGATATGAAATATCAGAAACCCAAAAAGTATGTAAATAAAAAATTACAACTAATCACACCTATTTATTTTTTCTTGACACTGCCCAAGACAACCAATAATCAGAAAACAAACTTTTAATTTCCATTCCATGGAATTTCCAGAAATCCAAACATACCCTTGACAAAAAATTGATTAGCAAAGGCTTACATTGGCAAAAAAGAAAGACTATGATCTTGAGTTCTAGTCATATATATGAAAACATGAGGCTCAAAGATAATTATTCGTTTTTTAAAATGGATATATAGGCCATTTCGAATACAGTAAGCTAAGGCAAATATTATGAACCCTCTGGCTCACAATCCCCATCACCTAAGGATAGACTTCTAGAAATGCAGCTTAGATTATATATGTGTTTAGGACATCTAAAAATGTACAGTGTAAAAGATCGTTTTTTTTTGTTGCATGGGCGTTTTAAGGAATAGGTAAGGATGCTAGACAGGAAAGGAGGGGAGAGATTGGTGATAATATAGCTGCATCTCTAGGAAAAGATTTCATCCAAATTCTCTTTGTTTTATTATTTCATGAAAATTGCATTGAATTGGCAAAAGAGATCACAATTTCTTGTTAATGACCTGTTTAATTAATCTCGTTTAATATCTGTAGGAATTATATCATATTTTCGAGAGAAATAAACGATAAAATGCTGATAATATTGCGGGAGGTAGTGAATACTTGCCGTTGATGGAAGAGAGAAATGTGAGAAAGGAGGCCCCAAATTTTGCAGAAAAGCTGCCTTGTTTATATTATGAAGAACATGAAGAAGAAAGTCGCTGTGTAATGTTAGGCTGTTTAGCTGTTATTCGGTTGAACGCATGAATTTTACTTATTCAACAACAATGTTGCTCCATACATCTTTTATTCATGTGTTGAAGACGATGGATTTTAGCTGCGCACTAATTAAGCATTTTTCTCACCTAATTTAGAATCAAACTTTGACTCTGGAATTCTGGATTATTCAAATAATATATTTATTTATGAGATTTTTCCTAACTATTATTACATTGAAGCTTATTTAAAAAAATGACAACCTTTTTATATATATGGAAAAAAATGACAACCTTTTACGTAATAAATTTGAAAAAGATAATATCACTGTCGGGTTTTATATCACCATCAATAACTGCTAGTGTTACTAACTTGCTGCCACTAGTTCACTAGCGATGCTGTGAAACATGTCTAATAAATATAGCTATCCTAATAAATATATAGCTATCCTAATAAATATTAGCTAATAAATATATTTATTAGCTATATTAAATATATTTATTAGGATAGCTAATAAATATATAGCTATATAAATATAGCTATATATTTATATGAACTATACAAATATATAGCTAATAAATATATTTATTAGCTATCCTAATATAGCTATATATTTATTAGCTATCCCAATAAATCTTCTCATATACTAATAAATATATAGCTATCCTAATAATTCAAGGGAAATAATAATTACGAAATGTACAAAATTAAGATTTAAGATTCAAGACTTAGAATACAAAATAATAATAGGAGTAGTTGAATATGATAGTTCTTACGATGATAGTTCTTATGATAGTTCGTTGGAAAGTATTTCAAGCGACTCTTTCCGATGAAAATTATAAAACTTGAAAATTTTCAACAAAATTTTACAGCATTCGACAACAATGACTTCCAATGCCAACAACCAACATTTGATGCTAGATCCATCGATGGGGCAAAAGCTGGATAGTTGGGTGAGAATTAGAATTAGAAGTATATTCGTAAATCAAAGGTTTATTACATTTAAAAGGAAAAGGAAAACTAGTCATATTGACGTCTTCCAAAAATGTATAGGTAATATTTTTGTTGATTTATATCACAAAGATAATTTTTAATAATTTATTCAATACAAATTTGAATATTAGTTTGTTATAAACTTTACAAGTACACATTTACAAATAGTAACTATCAAACATTAGATGGTTTGAAGATCATGAAAAAAACTTGACACTTATTTAAGTGTAAGTTTAAGTGGTGGAGAGGGAAGGGATGATCGATTTTTTACTTTATTAATTTATCTGAATTTGTTAATTTTATACTACAAATAATTATATAGCTAGTTAGATCATATATTTTTATATACTATTGTCTTCACTTTATTTCAATTTTTATAAATCTAAAAATTATTTAAAATTTAAATATGACCCCTCCACTTCCTTCTCCTCCAAACCCCCCAACCAAACTGGCCTGTCAAACTTCACAACGAAATCTGTCAGAGCATCAATCATAGGGACCGTGAGATTGCGAATGGAGGAATTCTCCTCCAAATCAAGGTAGCCACCAACCCCATCAACTACCCCCAACTCCCTAATTTCATTTATTATGCATTAAATTTAATTTATTGTAAACAAATTTATATCAAAAAATTAGATTTCTTCCTTCTATAAATAGACACCAATGAATGATATGTTTAGTTACTTCAAAATTTATCACTTATATCTATCTTGCATCTTATTTTATATGCTTTAGAATATGCTTTCCACTAAAAAAATGATGGCACTTGATCCTCATTATGGAAGCTCATGAATTGATAGATCAAGACGCAAGGTTAAAAGTGGGAGCTAACGATTTATTTTTTAACTAACCAATTAAAGAAACCCAAGTCACATTTTACTTTGTAAAAAGAGTGTGGGCCGTGAGATTGCGAATGGAAGAATTCTCCTCCCAATCAAGGTAGCCACCAACCCCATCAACTACCCCCAACTCCCTAATTTCATTTATTATGCATTAAATTTAATTTATTGTAAACAAATTTATATCAAAAATTAGATTTTTCCCTCTATAAATAGACACCAATGAATGATATGTTTAGTTACTTCGAAATTTATCACTTATTTCTATCGTGCATCTTATTTTATCTGCTTTATAATATTCTTTCCTCTAAAAATGGATCCACTCATTCTCCACCTATATACAATACCAACACCCCCCATTCCATAGAATTCCTCATTCGTTAATAATGTGGGTCACATATGAATTAAGGGTGTAATTTTTTTAAATATGCTTATTTTTTATTTTTCCACAATAAATATTTATAGTGGGTCAAATGTAGATTCTATATTCCTTTTTCAAATTAAATAAATTAATAATGGTGGGATATATCAAAAATAAGGAGAGAGAGTGAAAATTTTAAGTGACTTAGGTCAACATAGTGGGGAAAAAATGTGATAGGTTAGAGAGGATTAAATTTTTAGAGGGAAATAGTGTGGAAGAGAGAGGAAGGATTAGTCAAGCAATCCATTTGTAAATGTGTCAGCATTTACAAATCAAAAATGATGTTTGTACCCACTCTTATACCCACTTTTATATTCACCCATGTTTGTGAATTTTTTTTGTCTGTGAGTTTAGTTCATAGGCAATATTTTGTTTGTGCAAAATTTGCACACAGATTCACAAAAAAAAAACACAAACATGGGTGGAGACTATGGTTAAGAGTTCCGGGGTTAAGAGTTCCGGGCAGGGAGACCCACACAAAAACGTGACACAATTGTATCTGCGAAACATAAGGTTAAAATAGCTGCAAGAAGTATACACAGAAAACAACACACCAGAGGCAAGGGTGTGCACATTCTCTTCGAACCAAAACAGTTCCATTTCCATTTCCATTTCCACGACCTTGCAGGGATGGATGGGTTTAGAGGACTGTCTGAACCATCATCATAAACTCTAGAAGAAATTAGTACACAAATTTTACAGACTAAATGAAAACTTGCTTTTTTTAATCATCTCCATGCTGAGGAAGTTGCCAAAGCCCGACCCTTCCATCCAAGACACAACGCACCATTGCTTTCTTGAAGCCAATAATTAGGGCTGTATTCGCTCAACACTTGCCTCATGGCCTGCCCAACCGAAGCACTTAACGGGCAAGGACTGAACCCGGCCATCATCAACCTCATCCTCCATTTCCCAAAGACTTCGTGCCTTTCCACCCTATCACCCCCCTCGCAAGCCACCAAGTTGACAACATCCCGCGCAACACAGTGCTCCTCCGCGCTGATCCGCTGCTTGTCATCCCGCGGGCGGGCCGCGTCGATAGACTCAAACATTGCTGCATAGTAATCCAAAGTCTCCCGGAACCTCAGAAGGAATGGAGCGGAATTGGTGTTGGCTTCCTGTTCAACAAGAGTAACGACTCTCGGGGACAAGCTCTTAACCAGTCTCAACAGCCTGTCTCTGTGGTTCATGGTGGTCACACTCTCGTCCGGCATGTGGTGTAAACTGTAGGGGAAGTTAACGGTTAGGACTTCTCCTGGGACCACGTGGAGGTTCTCCAGCTCAACCTCACTGCCGGAAATGGCTGCCGCATGGAACTCGAAGGGCACCCCGTAGGACTCGGCAAATTTCGCTAACCTCTCGCCGACGAGCCTGAGTCCTCCGCCTCGGGCTTGGATGGATTGAGGGTCATCGACGCCCGTCACACGGATAAAAGGAGGCCCACCGGGACGTTGCGAGAGAGCCTTGATGAGGAACATCCATTGACTCCCTTGGGCGATCTGGAAGTCGATGACATGGATCCGGTTCTCATTGGCAACTGCCTCCTGGATCACGACATTGGCCGACACGTAGGCGAACTTGTAATAAGGGCATATGTGGTACATGACTTGCATGTATGACATCAGCTCCGACCCGGTTGGTTCATTGCAGTTCAACTTCTTATAGATTGTGCTTCCAGAAGAGAGTAGCCGTGCCCTGAGGCCTTCAAGCATGTAAGCGCTTAGCCTCTGGATGGGTTCCCCTGAAACCGAAACTCTTTTCTCCAGCACACCCATTAGAAGTTCTGCTGTAGACACGTCGGCATCTGAAACAGCCTCTGCACAGGCCGTGAGAAGCTCCTTTGTTTCCAAATTCGGGGCTATCTCCACAATCTTGGTCCATCTTGTCAAGGAAGAAGAAAAAGGCTTCGAGACCACATCGCTCATGGCCTGCTTGGATTCTGGCAAGTACTGGGGGGAGAAAACATGGAGAAAATTTAATAAAAAGTAAAGAGAATGTGGGGGGAGTAAATGACACCATAGGTGGTCGGTGGATAGGTTCAACTCTAAAAATAATTTTCTTTAGTTATTTGGCGTTACTCAATTTATTTATATACGCCTATCATATAAAGGCTTCAAAAAACTAAAAGTACCATCTTTTCCACTGCATTTTCCAAGGTAAACCGGAACACAAGAAATTAACTTTATTTTGCTTTCCCTAGCATTTTCGATAGGCAGTAGCTCCAAACATCCAAACATACCCTAAGGGTCCATTTGGATCCTGGAAAGTACTAGGGAAAGGAAACAGGAAGGAAAACATGGAGGAAGAATAGAAAGAGATATAATGGTGGAAACTACAGATAGAGAATTCAAAATATAAATGTGTAAATAATCATGCTTCGTTTTCCTTTTCATTCGCCAAATTAAAAGCAAACAAAAGAACCTTCTTCCAAAATCAAAACATACCGTGAAGGAACAACTGCCGGTGTCATCATCCACTTCTGAGTCGGGACCCAGCAACTTGTTCTCCAATTCACGCAACACGTGCCTCATTTCATTGCCGTCATCAACAACTCCAGAAGAACCGCTTAAGGGGGAACCAGAAGTATTACAGTCCGAGACATAAGAATGTGAGCAATGAGGAGAAAACGCACTCCGGTTTGAGGAAACGGTGGTGGGTGAATCGTAGGCCGCACAGTCGGAAGCAGTTGATGAGTCCAAAGTGAAGAATTGCTCATTGTCGGCCAGGAACACATTTTTTTCTCCTTGGAAAGTGGTGTAATATTGCCCATCAACAAGCTGTTTAGGTTGTTTATGGTACAACTTCTGGAGAAGGCTGGCTGATGATTGAGGTACCTCGGAGGTTTGCATTTGGAGTTGACTTTGAATTCTTTGTTTGCTTTTTCTTAAATCAAAATCTGGAGCTTTGACTTAAAACACGTTGACTTTGACTTCTACTTATCACAGCTGGGAGTGTATTATCTGTATAAGTTGTATGCCCAAAAATATCTGCAAAGACAAGAAAAAGTTGATCAGCTTCCTTTTTTATTTTCATTTTTTCCTTTTTCATCCGTCCCATTTTCATTTTTTCCTTTATCATCCGTCCCTATAATATAGGGAGTATGTTATTTCCATTTAAGGAAATGATTATGTGGTTCATACTGTTTCTCTCCTTTCTAAACAAATTTCAACAACATGAGTTCCACTTCATTAAAACAGTACAAAGTCAAATCTGAAGAAAACTTAGGAGTGAAGGTAGAACAGTAACGCAGGAAAAAAGATCTTGCATACGACTACCAAATTGCAACTAGGACATAGTCAATTTATGCATATCCACTGTGCAATTACTATATAATTGGTTCAAATGGTGATAAAGTAGATGCTTTGCATTATTTCATCAGGGTCATTCATGAAGTGACTTACTTTTTCATCCATCACTGAAATATCTTTCCTTATCTTACCTTTTAAGGAAATGATTATGTGGTTAATAATGCTTTTCCCTCTTCTAAACACATTTGTACCACATGATTTCCACTTCAGTAAAAAAAACGTACAAAATCAAACCTGTAGAAATAATTGGGATGAAGGTAGAACAGTAAAGCAGGAAACAAAAGATCTTGTATATACTTACCAAATTGCAACAAGGACATAGTCACATAGTGAATTTGTGCATCTCCAATGTGAACTTACTGGATAGACGCGGTTCAGATGAGGAAAAAAGTAGATACTTTATATTATTTCATCTGGACCATTCATGAAGTAACTTCACTGCATAATGGATTAATATTATATGAAAACCAAAATATTTGAGAAGTTTGAGTGGCATTGCTTATCTGGAATAGAATATTTATAATACATTGAATTGATATTGATGGAGGGATCTTATTGTATTCTCTGAAGCATAAAAAAATATCTACTTCACTGCAGAGTTACTCCATAAATATTTACCAAAGGAGAACAGAGTAATAAAAACACCAAGGCCCTCTTTGTTAAGGACGTAAGGGTTATTTTGCTGAAACTGGAAATTTTGAATGAAAAAGAATTTGGTAACATCCATCTCAGCCAAATATATAAAGTCTTGCTTATTTTTCTTATTCACGAGCAGAATAAGCCAAAATAAGCCAGAACTGGATAACAAAAAAGGCCTCAATAAGTTTGAAGATCAACAGCCGCGTAAAGCCAACTAAATACCTTGATTTTCTTTAATGGCATCATAGACTTGTCAAGACAAAGTGAAGTTATTATTAAAAAATTCATGGACCAACCAAGTATAAGATTTTATATATACATACATAAGAAATTTGGTAGAGCCAGCCATTGGCACTGAAATATTCTTGGAGCATATCAATGTTTATCAAGCACTAAGAACTGTCATCTTAATCTTGGTGGAAAAAGAACTAAATCTCAAGCTCAAAACCATGTTGACTAAGAAATGTCTTCATGAAGAGGTTAGCAAATGCAAAACACCACCATCCCAGGATAACAAGAGAGCCCAATTACAGATTTAGAAAGCATTAAATCTGTAACACTTCAAATCGAAATATTTTTCATAGATTTTACCGTATGAGATTTTTCTTGTAATTGAACATTTAAGTGAAAAATCAATCAATCTGTGGAAAATATTACGGAGTACATAAAATGAGATAAATACATTCAACCACAAGACATAAAGCTCCAGCAAAAGGAACTGGAATTGCAAATGTTTGATTAACACTCGAATAAGACACCAAGAAATCACTTTAGCCTTTAGGAACTTCAAGAGCAAACGAAAACCAAAAGAACTAGGAAATACGGGCAAAGGAACTGAATAGCGCAGAATCACATAGATTGAGAGTGAACGCACATACCTGAACACGAACTTTAGAAGATTGCAGCTTTTCTATGATTTTGTTAATTTATTCGGAGTATTTTTCATTCAACTTTTTTGCTTTGACTTGAATGGATGAGAAGATTGATCCTAGTGTGTTCTTTTTTTTTTTTTTGACGCAATCCTAGTGTGTTCTGGAAAACGCTGATTGATAAGAAGAAAAGAACCCAAGAGTGTCATATAAATAATATTTATAAATGATAAATAATATAAATGGAGAAGATGCTTGCCACCGTTTTCTACGTCAATTACACAGTGTGCCCCTAAGTAGTTGCTGTGAATTTCCTTGTCCCACTTGAAGTTTCACCGTGCCATTAAAAGAAGGGAGGAATATTACGCTCCGTATAATACTCACCATTTCCTTACTACGATAAATAAACTCCGCCAATGCGAGTTGCGACTGTCCATAAACGGTTTGAAAAGTTCCGTATAACTTAACGATTTGTACTATCTGATCTGATCTGATCTGGAACAAATTACGGTCCAAGTAAAAACATCCTAAGTTCACTGCAATAGCATTGAGCACATTATTTAAGAAAGAAATAGAAGGAGTAATGAATAGTGTAGAAAAAGTAGAGAGAGTGTGTAAAAGTATGAAAAAGAAGATAAAAAGTAGAAAAAGTAAGGTGCTTAAGTATTTTTAAAGGAAAAACTTATCAAAAGGGGAAAATGTACCAACTTTTAAATACATCCCAAAAAGCAAAGTGTAGCAAACTTTAAAATACAGAGGGAGTACGAGAAGATGCAATGATATACTCTCCTTTCCGGGGACGGGCACGATTCGGGACGGAATGGGAATTAGGTTGTCCCGGTACTGAACCCGGTTTATAATAACGATTCAGAACGGGACGGGACAAGACGTTGTCCTTTTATTGTCCCATTTAAACCGGTACCGGGACAAAATGGGACGGTTTGGGACATCCCAAAAAACTGTAGTGAAAAATTGCAATCCCAAAAATAATGCAAATCTATTTGAAAAAAAACTAACGCAAAAAACTCTATGACAAAAAAACTGCACCTAATCAAGAAAATTGTGAGAGAAAAATGCAAATAACCAGATTAGCTGTAAGAAACAAAAGTTGTTTCAAAAAAATCTAAAAAAAACTATCAAGAAATCAGTAAAAAAAACTGATAAAAGAATACTATAAGAAGTGAAGCCTTTGGGAGTAAAAATCAATTTGTTTTTTGTAGATAAATGATACTTTTGGGAGTTCATAGTTCATACTAGGTAGTTTAAAGTTCTTTAGGTGTTATGTTATTAAACAACTACTCCATAGTATTTTAATAATCATTGGTATTTGAGTTGTGAAAAAAGGATAATTATTATTTGGTGTAAATGTAAAAGGATAATTATTAATACGTAGTATTTTTTTAGTTATTATTAAAAAAGGTCAATTATTATTTGGATTTCCTAATGAGTTGTTGATAGACTCATTAATCTACAAAATGCAATTTTGAATTTGGGACAACGGGACGGAACAAGATATATTTTACTTGTCTCGGTCCCATTTTGTTTTGAAACGGTTCGGGACCGGTACGAGACAAAAATAATGTGTCCCAAATATAACGGGACAATTTCGGAACGGAACCGGAACATTTCGGAACGGACCAACAGGACCGGGTCTTTTGCCCACCCCTACTCCTTTCTAAACATAAAGTCTTGCAATTTTTGTACATTTTCGGTCGGTCACACCTAATTAAGACGTTGATCTCATGTGAAATTTACTCACTTGCAGATTTAACCTGATAATTAATAAATTTACTTGTATTCAAAATCTTTCCATCAGAAAGTACTTTTTTGCAAGAACACGTACTTTCCAATGAAATAGCCCTTATTATTGACAAGGTACATAACTACATCTACATGTGAGTAAAATTATACACTTAGCAGACACAATCGAAAGGTACGAGCTTAAAACCATAAATCTCTGTTACTTTTAAAAGTTCAAAAATATATTTGAGGTTGTAGAAATCTTGGTGAAACTTTTCTGACGAGATAAAGATGTCTAATACGTATATTTTATACGTAAAACAGATGTCGTTGAAGGACTTTTAGGAGACTATTGTTACCTATTGTAAATTTGTATGAGAAGTACTTACTTTTGTAGTTCATATTAGGGGAGGACAAGGCCCGGTCTCGAGAATGACCGATTTTTTAATTAAGATTTTAGGTTGGGATCGAGACCAGACCGGTGAACAAGAGGCCTCAGGCCTCACTTTTTGGATCACGATTGGAGCCCATGTTTTGACCCCGTTCATTTTTTCATTAAAACCATTGAAAATATTTTAAAATTGGTTATAGTCCGTTAAAAATTAAAAAATAGGTAGTTAAATATTTAAATTATCGGGAGCGAACCTAGACAAATTAGGAGATTAGAACCGAAGATAATGTCATGGGCCACACTAATTATTTAGCACTAACCAGTTTGAGTGTGAAACTCATGATAAATTATAATGTCTTTACCAGTATTTTACATGTAAATATGTTCATATTTTGTCAAATGTTAATTTACAAGTTATATTATACCTATAATGATCTCATTTTCAGGATTAAAAAAGTTTCTAGAGTGCAAAATGAGAATTTTCTTGCATTCAATCATTAATGGTAAAACCAAGTAGTCAACATCACTTTTGAGTCGGTTTGGTTCAATTAAGTTGATAAGTTTCAGTTCTTGACAAATTTAGCTTATTTTGATCATTTCCATGCCAGTTAAGTATATTTAGTCACTTTACAAATTCAAAGGTATAAAACGAACTACCTAGAGTGGGGTCAGTTATGTTTGACTTCCGATAAAAATGTCATTAATATGGACAAGTTTATTAATTACCGGATCAAATTTGTGATTGAATAAAATTACAGTATTAAAAGCGGACCTAATGAAAAATAATGAAATTATATCTATAGTTTTCTCTAAATATAGATTAGAAGTTATTTAATCATCATTAAAGGATAGGGAGGGGGGTAAAAGTATATTTTTGATAGTATAGGGGTGTGATTGATAATGCATCAAACCTCAAGGGGGGTCAATGATAATTTCCCAAATCAAAATGAATTTGAGAAGAGGAGGGTTGAGAAAAGAACACAGTGATGGCGGATGGAAAAGGGTAGAGAGAGGGGAGAGAAAGGAAATTTTTTGTACACTTTTACTACAGAATAGTCGTTCTAAGGTGTGTGTTGTTATATGTGTATATACCATATTATTTTACACTCTTATGGTACATGCATGCTAGAAAGTTTTACGATTCTATCTTATCATCAATTTGTATGATAGCATAATGTCATTAAATTTTTTGATACAAAAGTGTTGTATCTCCCTGCCTCTTGAATTTTGTGTATTTCCATGTTCTTTTGATGATTAAAAAAGATCAAGGGGTAATCTCCTAGTCCCCCACTCTTGCTGACTGAATGCACTTTGGGCTAGAGGAGTTGATGCGGTGCTACGCTGAGGCAACCCCTGAATAGTTGTATACTAATTTTCCGAGAGGGTAATAACAGTGGGAGTTTTTTATGTGCAGGTTGTCTAGGTTTGGTTAATGGTCGGGGTGTTCCTTGTCTAGAATTGAGGGCAGGTCTTTGTTGGCGTTTGTAAGTGGGGGTTCCGTGTTTGAATGTTCCTAATGTCCAAAGGGTAGCACTGTGTGGAGGGACCTGGTGCACCCGTAAGGTCATTTGAAGCACTGACTGAAGCTAGCCTTGATTTTATTGGGGATGCCTTACTGGTGGGTGATATTGTTTCGGGGGCGCCACGTGTCCAACAGTGAATGGTTAGGAATGGGGCGGGCATTCTTGATTGGCCCATCATGGTGTTGTGTGATGATGGCTTTCTAACTAGGGGGATGATTCGGAGGTAACCATATATGGTTGAGTTGCCTATAAATACCCCAAGTCTGACCTTATTTTTCTTTACGCATTTTGTTGTTTGAAGTGAAGCCTCTGCCAAAGTCTAGAGATCAGACAAAGCTCCAAGAGATCTAACAACCATTTTTCGGGTAAGTTCTTCGTAGTTTTCTCATACATCGCTTTTTTAGGGATTTGATCTAGTGTTTAGACCGAAGCCCTAAATTTCCCTTAGTGTTAGGACACCTCAGCTTCCGAAATCTCGTTAGCTATGTCATTTGAACCTGATTCTAAAGATATATTGAGGACACCTTACGTTGAGGAGCAGCTTGAGTCTGAGGGGTGGTTGGATGAGAGGACACCCCATCCCGCGACCTCGATAGTGGGCATCGAGGGAGCCGCTGAGGAGGTGATGGAAGAAGAGCATGTCAAAGACTTCGAGAAGGACTTCAAGGTCGAGGAGGAAGCCGAAGGGTTTGATGAGGAGATTGAGATAAAGAGATGACTGAGGCACATTAAATTGAAGAGGAGACAACCGAGAGGGCAGTTGCGCTCACGCTCAAGGCTATCGTTCTAAGGGGAATGGATGGTGTGGGGCCCTCTAGTCAGTTACCTGGTCTGGAGCCACTAAAGGCCATTAAGGGTAACAAAATGCCTAGAAACCCTGAAGACAAACAAGGGTAGCCAGTGGGTATACTCATATACCCGATGGCCATTCTTTCATTAATATGGCTCTACTCGCGGGATCCGATTGAGGGCACATGATGCTAACTTCCATACAATGCCATTTTACACCGGATCGTCTGCTAGAGTGGTGGAATCGGGGTCGGGGTACGTTGTTGTGCCCACTAGAGAGCTGCCACATCATATACTTGTTATCGGTGACCCTTGGCTTACGATTTCCCCTTTACCCTTTACCGGAGGAATACCTCCAGTACACGGTGTTGGTGCCTTGTCAGTTGAAGCCGAACAATCATTCCTACATCACTTGCTTTCACGTGATGTGTGCTGAGAAGAAGATGGATACAATCCTCGACCTTTTCTTCCTTTGTGTCAACCTTTGCAGGGGGCATGCGAATAGCTTTGGGTTCGCCAACCTTCAACAGGTGTTGGAATGGAGGCTCTTCGATGAAGTTCCTTTGTTACATACAGCTGTCGTAGATCCCATTTTTCGAGGACTACTGCGATCATTTTCGGCGGCATGTAAAGGAAGGAGGTGTTGCCATGGAGAAGGAAGCAAGAAAGTTGTTAGTCGAGGGCTCGAAAAAATTAAGGACATGAAAGCGCCATAGAAGTTTTTGTTGTTGGATTTCCTTAGGTACCGACTCCTCGACGAGACCAATATGAAGTACCCGGTAATCGACCGGGTGCATGAAGGCATCAATTTAGATCCCGCTTGAACGAAGGTTGTTATTGCTTGTTTAATTTTAGGGGCTCTCCTTGGTACTTGTATATTTTTTGCGTTGCTAAAAATAGAGAGAAGGCAGAGTAAAATTAGAGACATAAGTGTGTATGACATTAATGATGTTCAAACTGCTACAT